ACCACTAAAGTGAGGGAGGTGTTTTACAACGCCATAAAGAAAAAGAAGATCAGAAAATGCTGGAATGAGGAAGTCCTGACGGCTCTTTGTCATAGAAAATAGAGAGACAGCACCCCCTGTGGACTCGAGCCCAACTGTCCATGGCACAACATAACACCTCCTTCTGTTCTGTCTGTGTACTGTCTAAACAAACGGCATTGGATGTTTGCCGTGTATGTGTACTTGTGATCTACCCTGAGTTCCCTTCGGGGTGAGAAAAGCGGAATATAAATAAAGTGTTATATTATTATTATTATTATTATTATTATTATATCCTTGTTTCTACAACAAGCCAATTTTTTTCAAATACAATTATCACAGGGAAAGAAAGTAAATAAAAAACCACAGAGGCATTAACCCTTCACTATGCTATCCAAATCTTTTATATATATGGCTGGAGTTACACTTTCAAAATGTACCTGTTCCAACTTACATACAAATCCAGCTTAAAAACAAACCTACAGAACCTGTCTGTATTTAGAAAATTACTGCATCAGACACTGGAGGTAGTTCGTTACCATAGATAACTATGAATATGCCTACTTCCCATTTCAAGCCATGCAATTTGGCAGCCATGTAGAGAGGGCTCCTATAGTTCTAACAGTTGTACAGAAAGGGGGATTTCATCAGGTGTAACCTGGTTGAGTGCAAACAATACTTGAGCTAAAAACTGCTGAAATTCCCAGTTCAACACAACAATTAAAGGGACAGATGCCACTGCCAGTTTTCAATCCTAAAAGTATATTAGAAATTACCTTCTTAGACTCAAATACATGAAAGCATGTGCCATAAAAATATATTAAGTTTTTATGGTGTTACTAGAGTGTTTTTCTTTTTTTTAGTTAAAACAGACTAACAAGGTGTCTCCCCTGGAGGAAGATTCTCTTTACAGGATACAGTGCTCATTTCACTTCCGATCTATGTGTAGAGTATTTTATATTATCAAACATATTCATCATTAGGTAATGATTGTGGGAGCCCAGCCAATACTATAACACTCAAGAGATTTTGAAGACAGCAGGATTTTCAATCCCTCGCACTTGACACCAGGAAAAAAAATGAAATTGGAGTCCTCAAGTGGTTTAAAATTACTCTTCACCCCTGAAAATTATCTATGACCCAGGACAGGGATATGTGTATCATCCCACATTGAGTTACATCTCTTGGCACTAGCCCCCAACATTTCCACATAAATTAAACTATAACACAATAACGGTTATAAGGAAACTCAGAAAGTTTCAATGCAGAATAAGGTATTGAAATGAAGGTATACAATTAATTCAGTGACATCAGCAACATAGACCAGTTTACAGCCCTATTGTTCCTCTATAGCAGAGATCCTCAAACGTTTTAAACAGGATGCCGAGGGTTGGTTCACAGTACCTCAGGCTGTTGGGGCACCAGACTACAGTTTGGGAAATAAATGAGCAGATACCAATGCATACTGCACGTCTTATTTGTAGTCCAAAAAATGGAAGAACAGTACAATATTTAAATGAGGAACTCTTTTAACCAACATGAACTTACCAGTATTACAATGCAAAGAATGGGCCTGCTTTTGGCTGATTAGACAGTCAAATTAATTAGGATTGTTGTGTGCCTTCAAGCCGCTTCACTGCCCTAAGTCCCCTTGGGGAGATAGGGCAGGATAGAAATAAAGTTCTATTATTATTATTAGTTATTATTTCAGACTTAGGCTGACCTTAGGTCTAAAGTTTAAGCTAGGTGTTAGGTAAATGACGTTGGAGGGCTGCATACAAATAAGATGTGTGAAGTTTGTATAGAAATATATTCATGTTTCTTTTTGGAAACATATATTATTGTCTGGCTCCCCAACAGGCGGAAGGATCATGAATCAGACCTCTGCTTAAAAAGTTTGAGGACCCCTGATTTAAAAAGAAAGAGGCCTCTACAGAATCGCAGTCAGTGCTCTCTATCTATGGATTCCACATCCATGGTTAAGATAGATAGATATAAATAAATAAAATAAAGATTCAAAAAGCAAATCTTGGTTTTCTCCATTTTATAGAAAGGATGTCGTTTTACTACAGCGTTGTAAATAAATAATGGGCCTTGAGCATCCTCAGATTTTGGTACCCACAGGAATCATGGAACCAAATCCCAGCAGATACCAAAGGATCGCTGTACTGTAATCTACAGGATTAAATCTGAATGCTTTCTACTCTTTGGGTACGGGTACAATAATGGAATAAAGTATCCAACCTGCAACCCTCTGTTCATGTGCTTCACATAACTGATACACTGTTTGAAAATTGACAGCACAATTCTAGATGTGTCTGTCTATTCTGAAGTTAGTAAAGTGCAACTTGACCCTACAAAAGAGGTAAACTATTTCAAACTAGGAATGCTTCACCAACTGTTACTACAGGTTGAGAATCCCTTATCTCAGGGATTCTTAACCTGTGGGTCCCCCGGTGTTTTGGTCACCTCCCAGCCAGTTTACTAGATGTTAGGATTTCTGTGAGTTGAAGGCCAAAATATCTGGGGATCCCCAGACTGAGAACCACTACCTTATCTGAAATGTTTGTGACCAGAAGTGAAGTTGATTTTGGAAAACTTGTATTTGCATAATATATACATGACATAGCTTGAATATAGGATCCGTCTAAAGACTTAATACATACAGTATGAAGATAATTTAATAAAATATTTTAATAACTTTGTACATGAAACAAAGCTTGTGTATGCTGAACCATCAGAAAGCAAAAGAGCCACTAATGTGGATGATTTCAGGGTTTTGGAGTATTTTGGATTTCAAGGTTTTGGATAAGGAATGCTCAATCTGTAACCGCCCAAAAAGTTTATTTAGATTTGATCTGCAAATATGTAGGCTTTTCCAACAGCTGTAGGCTCCTCCCCATCTTTTTTACTTCAAAATTTTGGTGACACAGGTCATATTTACACTGTCACAAAATGCTGTTTAGAATCATAGAATTAGAAGAGACCTTGTAGACTATCCAGTCCAACCCCGTGCCAAGAAGCACGAAAATTGCATTCAAAGCACCTCCAACAGATGGCTATCCAGCCTCTGTTTAAAACTCTCCAAAGAAGGAGCCTCCACCACACTCTGGGCAGAGAGTTCCACTGCTGAACAGCTCTCACAGCCAGGAAGTTCTTCCTAATGTTCAGGTGGAATCTCCTTTCATGTAGTTTGACACTGTTCCGCGTCCTAGTCTCCAGGGCAGCAGAAAACAAGCTTGCTCCCTCCTCCCTATGACTTCCTCTCACATATTTATACAGGGCCATCATGTCTCCTATCAGCCTTCTCTTCTGCTGGCTAAACATGCCCAGGTCTTTGAGCCACTCCTCATAGGGCTTGTTCTCCAGACCCTTCATCATTTTACTCATCCTTCTCTGGACACAATCCAGTTTGTCAACATCTCTCTTAAACTGCAATGCCCAGAATTGGACACAGTATTCCAGGTGTGGTCTGACTAAGGCAGAATAGAGGGGTAGCATGACTTCCCTGAATCTAGACTCTATTCTCCTATTTATGCAGGCCAAAATCCATTGACTTTTTTAGCCGCTTTGTTAGTTCGGGGTCAGTGTACACTCATATTGCATTATATGAACATACTAGCCATCCCCTGCCATGTGTTGCTGTCGCCCGGTCTATGTGTGTTGTGTGTGTGTGTGTATGTGTATGTATATGTTTGTGTATATATGTATATATGTGTGTTTATGTATATATGTGGTTTTGGGCATGAGTTGCAATACATTTTTTGTTTTTGTTTTCAGCTTTTAAAGTCTCTTCTGCTGCATTTTTCAGTGTTTTTATGAGGGATGGTAACTCGTTGGTCTGATAGGTGTATGGTGTCCAAACTTGGTCTCAATTTGTCCAGCAATTTTTGAGTTATGTTAATCCCACAAGCTCACATTGCTCCCCGGATTCAAACCTGCAACCTTTTGGTCAACAAGTTTAGCAGCTCAGCGGTTTAACCCACTGCGCCACCGGGGGCTCCAACTAAAAAGGTTGCAGGTTCGAATCCGAGGAGTGGTGTGAGCTTCCGCTCTCAGCCCCAGCTTCTGCCAACCTAGCAGTTCCAAAACATGCAAATATGAGTAGATCAATAGGTATTGCTTTGGCAGGAAGATAACGGCGCTCCATGCAGTCATGCTGGCCACATGACCTTGGAGGTGTTTATGGACAACGTCGGCTCTTCGGCTTAGAAATGGAAATGAGTACCACCCCCCAGAGTCGGATGCAACTGGATTTACTGTCAGGGGAAAAACTTTACCTAATCCCACAAACGAACATTACATTTTTATTTATATATAGAGAGAGAATAATGCAGGTTCAAACTTCACACTGAGGCAGAGTATGTGTCTTAGGCGGGACATCAATATTCTAATAACATCCTTACATAAACAGAAGTGAAAACTCTCAGGGTATTACCAACAGCAAAGCCATAAGGCCGCCACTTAAGGCAGGAAAACCTCAATGCCTTTCAGTGAGGGCTAAACTCGACCTCTAGGTAAGGGCAGCAGCTTGCCTTCATGGCAACCTACAGAGCTTGCGCGGAAGAGAGTTCCGCCTTCATCCACCAATCAGAAGCGTACTCTCCTAGCACGCGACTAAACATGCGGGGAGTTCTCTTGGAARGAAAGAGAACGCCGGCGCCAACTTGGGCCCTCCGGGTGTTTTGGACTTCAACTCCCACAATTCCTAACAGCCTACCGGCTGTTAGCAATTGTGGGAGTTGAAGTCCAAAACACCCGGAGGGCCCAAGTTGGCCTATGCCTGGGCTACTGTCTCTCCCAATTACAACTCCCAGGGTTCCATCACAGCAGGGTAAAAACGATGTCCAAGTGCATTCACTTCCACAGTGTAGATGTAGCCTGTCCCGGGGAGGGAGGAAAGGAAAAGGCTGCCAAATCTGAAGGAGAGGGTGCAAAGCTAGACGAAGCGTGTGGAGGGGGGGCGTGCACGTGTCGGTTACCTGCGCTGGAAGTCTTGCTCAAAGGGAGCCAGGTAGGGGTCTTTCTCCAGCAGGCGCTGCAGCTCGGGCACCAAAGGCCCCAGCAACGCAGCCATCGCCCAGGAGCAGCTGGAGCCGGACTCAGCGCGGGCTGCTGGCCTCCCTCCCCTATAAGATACTCTGGAAACCTCTCAGGCGCCCCCTGGCCTTTCTCCCTCCCCTCGGGATAGGGCTGCACTGGGTTCCGCCCACCCGGGAAGGAGACTTGGCCGAGAGCGAAAGCCGCCCGCTATTATTGCTCACTATTGCTGCAACTCGGCATTCCCAGCGCCTCTTGGCCACGGCGCATGCGCGGGGAGGCGAGCACGCGCACTGGCGTGAGGTGAAGCCACTGCAGCTGCTGCTCTCCAAACGCCCTTCCTCTGGCATTGCTGCTCCAGAAGTGGAGTTGTTTGAGTCGTGCAAGGAAGGGAATTACTTATGTTGACGAATTAATGCACTTTGACTCCGCTGCAACTGCCACGGCTCATTACTATAGGATCCTAGAAGAACTGGGAATTGGGTCTATGTGTTGACAAATTTATTATTCAGTTCTTGTGGTTTTTTTCGGGCTATATGGCCATGTTTTAGAGGCATTTCTCCTGACGTTTCGCCTGCATCTATGGGAAGCATCCTCAGAGGTGAGGTCTGCTGGAGCTGGGAAAAAAGGGGTTTATATATCTGTGGAATGACCAGGGTGAGACAAAGGGCTTTTGTAAGTTGGGCTAGGTGTGAATCTTTCAACTGACCACCTTGATTAAGCCCAACTTACAAAGCCCTTTTGTCTCACCCTGGTCATTCCACAGATATATAAACCCCTTTTTTCCCAGCTCCAGCAGACCTCACCTCTGAGGATGCTTGCCATAGATGCAGGCGAAACGTCAGGAGAAATGCCTCTAGAACATGCCCATATAGCCCGAAAAAACCCACAAGAACTGAGTGATTCCAGCCATGAAAGCCTTCTACAATAAATTTATTATTTTTTTATTTCGAAAATTTGTACCCCGCCCTTCTCAATCCTCAGGGCGGCTTCCAATCAGCAGCACTTCGATGCCTCAATATATACATAATAAAAACAAACAGTCAATAATTATAAATAGTTAAAAACATTAAAACAATACAATTAAAATCTACTAAGAATTACCACTCTGGTGGGCATTATTAGCCAAAAACGTACCCATAATCCATTTCTAAGCTGTTGTCAACATTGGTGTGGTCATTGTCCACTTAATTAACCGAAGGCCTGGCCCCACATCCACATTTTTAACTTTTTTCTAAAGGTGAGGAGGGATGAAGATGACCTAATTTCCCCGGGGAGTGAGTTCCACAGGTGGGGAGGGGGCACCACTGAGAAGGCCCTGTCCCTCTTCCCCACCAAGCATTTTTGGGACAGAAGTGGGGCCAAAAGCAGGGCCTACCCAGCAGATCTTAAACTTTGAATTGTGCTCGGAATTGGATCGGCAGCCAGTGGAGCTGGCACAACAGGAGGGTGGTATGCTCCCTGTATGACACTCCAGTAAGTAATCTAGCCGCCCATTGGACTAATTGAAGTTTCCAAACAGTCTTCAAAGGCGACCCCACGTAGAGCACGTTCCAGTAATCTATTTGGGATGTGACGAAGGCTTTCATGGCCGGAATCACTGGGTTGCTGTCAGTGTTTCGGGCTGTATGGCCATGTTCCAGAAGCATTCTCTCCTGACGTTTCGCCTGCATCTGTGGCAGGCATCCTATGGCAGGCAACCTCTGAGGATGCCTGCCATAGATGCAGGCGAAATGTCAGGAGAGAATACCTCTGGAACATGGCCATTGTGCTGGTACAGCTGTACCAGGAGCTCCAGTTCTGTTTGCTTTGCATTAAATGTTTGTTTGCAATCCCAGGCTTGGGATTTTGCAGCAGGGTGGCTTCCTGTTATAGTTTGCAATCATAGGGCAAGCCACCTGTCAATTATAGTTAGGTTCCCTGGTCCCGGCCCTTTTTGAGTTTTGGAGGGAATAGGAGCCTTTTTGAGTCAGTTCTCACAGAGAAGCCTTTCGCACAGGACATAAAACGAAGAGCTCCTGTAGAAAGCTTCGTCTTCTATGGCTTGGCCGGGAGACATACAGCTTTACAGCTTGGCCGGGGTCATACAGCCCTACGGCTTGGCCGGGGAGATATACAGCCTACAGCTTGGCTGGGGTTATACAGCCCACAGCTTGGCCGAGGATCATACAGCCTTACAGCTCCTTTGCTGAGGGACTTCAGCCAGCCTGAATTCCTTCTTTTCCCCTGGAAGTCTACAAAGCTCTGCTTGGTAAGGGTCGCTCACGGAAGCCAGACGCAGTTGGTACCGGGTGCAGGGGCTCCACGCCAACAGAGGCAAGTACAGACTGCCCAGATTAGAAGTTAAGGATTTCCCCATTAGTTAGTATACAGTTATGAAGATAGTGCCTGTTCCCAGTGAACAAGATTGCAATAGCCAATAGACTGTTAAGAAAGCTTGAAAATACCTGTTTGTTTCATCAGTAAAGAACTTTGTTGGACTTACTTTAAGCCTCTACAGAACTTTGATTTGGGGAAGTCCAAGGGCCTTTAATCTGAGGCAGCCCCGGCGTCCCGTTGGGCACACAGAATTTATGTCCTGTCTACAGTCATATGCACAGGCCCAGTGTGCAACAGCACAGCCATACAGCCGGAAAAACTTACAGCAACCCAATGGGGTGTACAGTGTTCCCTCACTTATTGTGGGGGTTCCGTTCCAGGACCACCCGCAATAAGTGAAAATCTGCAAAGTAGGGATGTCATATTAATTTTAATATTTTTACATTTTTTATATATTATTTTCTTACCCGTGCTTCCTTACCCACCTCCTGGCCCATCCCAAGGGTGCCTGCCTGCCTCCTTGGCCTCCTCAGTCCTCTGTAGAGCCTCCGAAGCCACACAGGCAGCAGCAGGCAGGGAGGCAGGCCTTCCCCGCCGCACCTCAGGCCACCGCACTTCCGGAGTCCCTGGCCTCCACTAGATATAAATATTTTATATTTTAATTTTATATTAATATTTTCAAAAATCCATGCAACAGCGAGTCTGCTAAAAGTGAACCGCGAAGTAGCGGGGAAACACTGTATATTAGTTTATTATTGATATCCTATTTTTTTCATAATGATTATTTTTTTCCCATGTCAGGAGCAACTTGAGAGTAAAAGTATGATAGCTGGGACCAAGTGCTGGTAGCGCTACACTGGTTGCGCAATGCGGCTCTCGTGAGACAGAGCACCGAGTGAGAGATGCAGCTGCAACAGGATACCAGTGAAGTAACAGTTACTGCATTTGATTTATTTTTCACCACTGCTTGTATTTCTCCCTTCCTTTTTATCCTTCCTTTCAATACAACTATGTTTTTGAACGTGTTTGCCTAGGATCTCTGGATAGCCTACATCACCGTGTTTCCCTGTTTCCCCTCCCCCTTTCTACCGAACTACCTTTTCAACTCTGTAGCAGATATGTCTCTCACTGCATCTGGTCTCTCGCGCACGTGGTGCTGTGTCAAGGACGTTGCCCAGTAGACGCCTGGATGTTTACCATCCTGCTGGAGGCTTCTCTGATGTCCTCACATGAGAAGCTGGAAATGACAACAGAAGCTCACCCTCTTTCCAGTTTCGAACAGCCGACCTTTCGGTCAGCAGTCCCACCAGCAAAAGAAAGAGGGAGCAGGCTTGTTTTCTGCTGCTCTGGGGACTAGGACTCAATGGAGCCATTGGTTCAGATTACATCAAATTAGATTCCTTCTGATCATTAGGAAGAACTTCCTGACCACAAAGAGCTGGGCAACATTGGAACTCTTTGCTTTGGGGTGTGATGGAAGCTCCTTCTTTGGAGGCTTTTATACAGAGGCTGGATGTTCATTGGTCAGGATTGTGCTTTTCCTGCATGGCAGGGGGTTGGACTGGATGACCCTTGTGGTCTCTTCCAACTCTGTGATTCTATGATTCATTCCTTTGGCCGTAGTCAAGTCCATGATCAAGTCAATTGCGGAAGGTGTACTATATACTTAATACATTGCATATGAATATCTGCTGTTGGTCATTCTAATGATCTCCTTCAGGGAAGGCCTGCTTTCATAGGAAGGTTTTAACTTGGTTTCTAATGAAATGGCTAAAACGAGGAAAGTTGGGAATAACCATGCATAAATGAAATTTCTGTATGGTTGAAGAAGTTGTAGCTGGTGGATCTGGATCTGGTGGATTTTAATAAGGGTATTTTAAAGGTACATCCAATAAGTCTGAAGTCTATCAACCACTGGTATAAACTTTTTACATTACTGTCTGAACCTGAAAGCAACAAATTACAAATAGTGATGCCACTTATTCTGCATTTCTCTGAATGCCACTTTTTGTATTTCAGGTAACGTTTGCCTTCTATTCCTAAAGCATAGCTTTATCAACCATTTTTCTAGCTTGAAGTTTTCAAAAATAGTGGTAAAGAAAACATCAGTGACAGGTTATTAATAAAAAAATTATGTCAGCCTGGCAAGTTTTTTTAAATGGTGTTCTTTGTTTTAATAATTTTTCAAGCTCTGATGAGTTTTAGGAGTCTGCAAGAAGATGCCAGGGACTTTCCCATGCTATTCTGATAGGCTGGTCCATCTCAACAGGTGTTTTCCAATACATCCAATGACTTTTAAAGTAGTATAAGAATAAGATGCTGAGTAGACTTGTGTACCAAAATAGAAATGGAAAGTCCCTCTCCTCTTCCTGACAAACATGTCACAGTAAGACCTAAAAGCACAGGCCACCACAAAAGTTACATGGAAAATGTTACTTTTCTAGATTAAAAATCTCAGAATACACAAAACAATATAAAATATATGTCCACCAGTTTCACAACGACTGTCTTAATCGATCTCATGGATCATGGCTGGAAAAACTGAAGTTTGAGACAATTCAAGAGGACCTAAAGTGCTATATATGAACAAAGAGTAGATGTCTTGATGATTTTATTTTATATCAACATGGGTGCCTGGCAGGTAGTTTTATACATTTAATAAATACCAACAAAAACTATCCCTAGCATTAAGGCTGCAATCCAGTATACAGTCATTTTGGAATATTCCTCCCCAGAAGTAAATGTGTAGGTATGTGTTGGATAACATTTTAATCTTGCCCTTCTCCAGATTCCAGTATTTTCTACTTCCTTGCTACTGCTTGCTTCTCCCCCTTACAAGACAAATTGATATATCCAAGTTCATGCCTACCATTAGCCTCATGAAAATATAAGCTCTAGTCTCCAAATACTGGTAGTCATTAAAATGTCAGAAGA